AGAGGCGCAAAATGACTGCAGCACCCTACTTCACTAAAGACTTGAAAACTCAAATGCCCACCCTTAGAGGCCAAGTGCACAAACCAGGAATGTCCACACAATGAAGACCTGTGAACTAAAAAGGAAGGATAATTTCTAATAATGTATGTGCAGTTGTGATGTCCAGGATTCATTAAGTTAGAAAGGAAAAAAAAGTAGAATTATATATATATAGCTATACATAGTGTGGTAGTTTTGTGTAAGAAAGAAGAGAATACTCACATATGCATAGACATTGTGTGCAGCTGTGTGAGCGTGTGAGTGTGTTTGTGCATATGTGTGTTTTGTTTTGTTTTGTTTTTCTGAGACAGAGTCTCCCTTTGTCACCCTCGGTAGAGTGCCAGTGGCATCACAGCTCACAGCACCCTCAGACTCTTGTGCTCAAGCAATTCTCTTGCCTCAGCCTCATTCGTAGCTGGGACTACAGGCGCCTGCTACAACACCCGGCTATTTTTTTCTTTTTTAGAGACAAGGTCTTGCTCTAGCTCAGGCTGGTCTCAAACTCGTGAGCTCAGGCGATTCACCTGCCTTAAAGTGCTGGGATTACAGGTGTGAACTACTGTGCCTGGCTTTTTTGGGTGAGTGGGGTGGGGACAGAGTCTCAGTATGTCACCCTGAGTACCGTAGTGTCACAACTGACAGCAACCTCAAACTCTTGGGCTTAAACAATCCTCTTGCCTCAGTCTCCCACATAGCTGGGACTACAGGCGCCTGCCACAACACCTGGCTATTTTTTGGTTGTAGTTGTCACTGTTGTTTGGCAGGCCTTGGGCTGGGTTCAAACCCCCCAGCTCTGGTGTATGTGGCTGGCACCCTAGCTGGGACAGGCTCGGCACCTGTAGTTCTAGCAGCTAGGGCGCTGAATGAGATGCATGTAGAGATCACAGCATCACCTATGACACTTGCAAATACGTTTCTTCTTTTTTTTCCTCATGGTAAAATACTCATGACCTAAAATTTACTGTTTAACCACTTTAATGTATACAATTCAGTGGCATTCAGTATATTCACCATGTTACACAACCATCACTTATATCCTTTTTTTTTCTTTTTTTTTGGTGACACAAAGTCTCACCCTGTTGCCCCAGGCTAGAGTACCTGGTGTCAGCCTAGCTCACAGCAACCTCAAACTCCAAAATCAAGTAATCCTCCTGCCTTAGTCTCTACAGTAGCTAGAACTACAGGTGTCCACCACAATGCCTGGCTAATTTTTCGGATGGGATCTCACTCTCGTTCAGGCTGGTCTTACATCCATTTCCAGAACTTCTTCATCACCCCATACAGAAACCCTGTCCTCATTAAACAGTCACTTCCTGTTTGCACCCCAACAGAGCCTGCTCCCCAGTACTTGGCAACACTAATCTTTCTTTTTCTTTTTTGAGACAGAGTCTCAGTCTGTTGCCCTGGGTAGAGTGCTGTGGTGTCACATCTCAGCAATCTCAAACCAGTTCACAATACCTGGATTCAAGCAATCCTTTGCCTCAGCTTCCCAAGTAGCTGGACTACAAGCACCCACCACAATGCCTGGCTAGTTTTTCTAGTTTCAGTAGAGACAGCATATTGCTTTGCTCAGGCTGGTCTTGAACTCCTGAACTCAGATGATACACCCACCTTGGCCTCCCAGAGTGCTTGGATTACAGGTGTGAGGCACTGCACGTGGCCTTCTTTTCTTTTCACTGCAACCTGGAGCTATTGGACTCAAGTGATCCTCCTCTTTTAGCTGGAATTACAGTTATATACCACTGGGCCTGGCTAATTTTTCTTTTTTATAGAGACAGAGGATCTTGCTATATTGCCCAGGCTGGTCTCAAACTCCTTGGCTTCAAGAAATCCTTTGCTCCAGGCTCCCAAAGTGCTGAGATCATGGGCATGAGCCATAGAGGTTGGCCTCAATCTACTTTTTATCTATATGGATTTGTCTTTTCTACATATAGCATATAAATGGAATCATACAACATGTACCCGTTTGTATAGAGGATTAAACATCATACTTACTGCAACAGTCACTAATATAATAACTCATCTGAGGAATTACTGAGAACAAGACATTCTCCTGGCAAGCTTGGAAATCTCTTGTGACTCGGAAGGCAAGCCACCAAGTAACTCAGTAATCATGGGGGAGCAAAGTTCAGTCCCGTAGTAGTAAGACTATTGTTAAACATTAAGCATTTTATGACAGTTCCTTTTTTTTTTTTTTTCTGAGACAGAGCCTCAAGCTGTCCCCTTGGGTAGAGTGCTGTGGCATCACAGCTCACAGCGACCTCCAACTCCTGGGCTCAAGCAAGTCTCCTGCCTCTGCCTCCCAAGTAGCTGGGACCACAGGTGCCCACCACAACGCCCGGCTATTTTTTGGTTGCAGCTATCATTGTTGTTTGGCGGGCCCTGGCTGGATTCGAACCCACCACCTTAGGTGTATGTGGCTGGCGCCTTAGCCACCTGAGCCACAGGCGCCAAGCCTTTATGACAGTTCCTTAAAGGATTAGTGGAGAAAATTTTATTTAGTATTTTGAAGATCATTTCCTTACCACCCTTGAAGATCATTTCCTTGAGTACATACTCTGTTGGCACCTATGAGATCATTTCCCCGAGCATTCAGCCCCTGAGTGTTTTTGCTTAGTAATCTTTCTGCCTGTTATGTATCTTCTCAATAAAAGGACTCTAGGGAGGGAGGGGGGAGTGGGTGGAGGGAGAGGGATTCGAGGGTTCACTTCTGTGGTTCATCTTACAAGGGTGCAAGTGAATCTTTCTATGAGTAGAATATGAACGTTTTAACACAATAACTAAGAAAGTTACATGAAGGCTATGTTAACCAGTTTGATGGAAGCGTCTCAGATTATGTGTGAAAACACCACACTGTACCCCAGAAGTGCATTAATGTACACAGTTACCATTCAATAAAATAAAATAAAAGGACTCTGCGAGAAGTGCTCAGTGCTACCTTGCACCTATGGTTAGCCTCACCTCTTGCAGCATGTACTGTCAATCCAAGTCTTGCATGATCATGTATATGGTCGTGACACATTTGTGTCTAGTTTCTGTCATTAAGCATATTATTTTTGAGGTTAATCTATGTTGTGGTACATATCAGTACTCTATTGCTTTTTATGGATGACTGACTAATATTCCATTGTATGACTATATCACATCTTCTTTATTCATTCATTAATGGATATTTGGGTTGTTTCCATTTGGGAGCTATGTGAACAGTACTTCTGTGAACCTCCCAGTACACATGTTTGTGCAGACATATGTTTTCATTTAACTATGGTGTATACCTAGGAATACCATTGCTGGGTCATAAGTTTCAACTTCTTAGAACTCTTTTCCACAGTGGCTGCACCATTTTCATTCCCACCAGCAATGTATGGGAGTTACAATTTCTCCACATCCTCACTAACACTTGTTATTTTACTTTTTTGATATTCTTATTACTACCATACTACTGGATGCAAAGTGGTACCTCATTACAGTTTTGGTTTGCATTTCTCTAGTGACTGAGATGTTAACCATCTTTTCGTGTGCAATTTTTGGATCTACTTTGGAGAAAGGTCTATTGAAGTACTTATTTCATTTTT